AGAACAGGCAGATTGATGAAGTACACTGCTGAGGGGAGCAGCGGGTGGGTCAGGAGAGGTCTGCCATGCGGTCATCTCCGGGGCAGGCAGGGATCGAACTCATGTGGAAGTGGCTTAAGTTTCTTAGTGCTGTGCTTTAACCTGCTGTGCCACCAGGGAGGGCCAGGTTCTGGTTTTTATCTTTTTATTTTTAAATTTCCAAAAGGACCGATTTATTATAAAAAGGGAAAGAAAAATTAATGTTTGCATAGACACAAGTGGGCAGAACTGCCTGGATCTGTTTTTTGTTTATTAGTTAATTTTTTAAAATACTTTATTTTTACATAGAAGAACTGGGGTACAGAAGTGTGGGAGGATGAGAGGATTCACCAGAGAATATGGAGCAGAATGGGCGGATCTACTGAATACACTGCTAAAAGGAGCAGGGGGTGAAACAGGAGAGGTCTGCTGTACCATGTGGGTCAGCTCCCTGGCCTGGGACTGAACTCAGGCCACAGCAGAGGACCTTTGTAGTGGTAGCACCAAAACTTAACCCCTAGGCTACCAGGAAGTCCCTGGATCTTTTTTTTTTTTTTAATTGATTTATTTATGCACACAAGAACTGGGGTACAGGCCAGAGATGTAGGGGGTGAGAGGATTCACCAGAGCAGAGTGGGGAACAGAACAGGCATATCTACTGAAATAGACTGCTGAGGAGAGCATGGGCGGGTCAGAAGATTTCCACCATGCTATGTGGGGTCACCTCTCTGGCCAGGTATCACACACATGCTGCAGTAGCTGGTGATAGCTTGATAGCGCTGAGACTTTATCACCCCTGTGCTACCAGAGAAGTCCTGGGCCTGGTTTTTAATTTTGTGTTGTATGCTTCCACAGGAATTGAGGCATCAGACCTGTCCAGTCTGCTGGAGCAGTTTGAGAAGTCAGAAGGTGAGGGAACCTGGGTAGCTTTGCTCCAACCTGTTAACCTATCCTGTGGGCCCAACCCTTAAACGTTGTTTAAACCAAGGCGGGGAGAGGATGGAGAAGGACAGTCTCAGCCACTAGAACAGCCCCTAATTGGATTGGGAAGACAAAACTCACCTGTGACTAAGCAAGGTGGGCTGGGTGGCACAGTATGTCAGGAACTGTGAAGGAGTAGATGGATGGACATGGAATTCTAAGTTGGTTGTGTTGACATGGAGACATTTTTCTAGAGAGAACTAACTCTCAAGCTAGACCTTAATTTGATCAAGAGAGTTTGTGTGTGGTGAATAAAGGCATGAATAGAGGAAGGATTGTGTGTGGTGTTTTTGGAAGGCAGTGGATTGTTTTCTTCATACAACACTTAACAATGGATCTAGGTGCTATGGAGGACAAGTGTCCTGTTCGGATCATATTACAGTGTAATTGAGGAGAAAAACCTTGTAGATTTGGTAAAATATAAGTACAGCACAGGAGTAGGCTAGGAAATAAGTTAGATGGATCGTATGGGAACTTGTATGTTAGCCTTAGAAGTTTGGACTCTTGTCTCAGATTCAGTGAAAAGTGTGGATGTTTCTGAGCAGAAAAGAGATTGTATGATTGTTACTGAAAACAGCATCTGGGTACTTGGAAGAGAATGGATCATTGGGGATCCAAGTGAATAGATAGGCAAAATGGATTTTCCTCCTTTGGATCTCGAAGCCAGTTCTGCTGTACCTCTTCAATCTGGAACATCTGGTTGGGCTTTAAACAAGTATGATTTCTTTGCAGCCAAAAAGGAGTGCCCTCCCCCGGCTCCTGCTGACAACCTGGCTGTAGGAAACTCAGGGTAAGTATGGAGACATGAGTGAGTTACCCTACAGCTGTTGGTCAGCAGCCGGCTGGTGCTCCAGGACCATCAACTGGATGCCTCTATCACAGGGAGGTTTAGTCAGCTCTAGACTCTTTCCCTCTTTCCCATTCCCTGCTTCGCCCATCACTACTGGGCACTGTCATGGGTGGTGAGGTAGGAGGACTTATACCATCCTCTAGCTGATTTCAGTATTCCAAATGTCCTGAAGTTGCTTTTTACCTTCGGCCAGAGTCATGCCTTTAGAGATTTCTTTCTTCCAAGCTTTTTTGGTGGCGGTGATGATGTACAATAAAGTGGGGTCAGGGCTCCATTGGTCAGGGCTCCATTGACTCTTCAGAGGATACAGGCACCCGGGAGCTGCTTGTTTCCCAGTCTCTCAGCCCTGAGTGACCTTTCTGCATTTTTCATATTCATGGTATCCCATCCTGTTCTGCCATGCATGTTTGCCCTCTACACTGATTGTGGGTTGATTTGAGCTGGGCAGACAAGGCTCCTGGCTTGAAGAAGTTGGGGAGTATTCAAGGTCGACCTACCTCTGGAATTGAGTGAGACCTAACCTACACTAAGTCCCCTTTTGTGCTCAAGAAGAATGATAAGGAGTCGTTCATGCATTTCAGTCCTCTCTGCACGCACCCCTCTCCCATTGCTCTGTGAGGAAAGCAGATAAACAAGATGTTGAGGTGGCAATGAACCAGGCTTTCCCTTTTCCCCTGCCAGCAGCGTTGACACTCCCCAGGAGAAGAGACCCCTAGACCGGTTACAAGCCCCAGAACTGGCCAACGTGGCAGGTGGGTTCAGGGTGGGGAAATTGCCTTTGATTAGTTTATGTAGCAAATGTTTGTAGTGCCTGTTCTGTATTTAAGTGGGCATAGATAATGGGGGTGTAGAGATCTGACCCTTGAGATTATCACAGTCCAGAGGCAGATGTGCAAAAAATGAGCATGTTAAGTATCAGAGGTTGTATATTAAAGAAGCCTGAGTGCTTTATAATGGGCCTGAAGAGGGGCAGCCTTCAGGTCAGGTAGGCTTAGCAGGTGGGCATTCTAGGTAAATGGAGCAGCTTGAGTGAACTTAAATAAAGCTAGTCTGATAGGTTTTGGGGAATTAAGAGGTTTGATTTGGCTGCAGTTCGTGGCTGAAGAGTGGTGGGTAGAAAGTTAAAGAAGAGATCAAGCTGGAATGGTAAGGAAGTCAAATTTGGGGAACTTTGAGCACCATGTTAAGCTGTGTTTGTATTTTATACTGTACACTGAAGAAACAGTTGAAAAAGCTTTATCAAATTGTTTTTTTGGGCCCCCTCTGACAGGATTGTAGAAGGAAGTAGATGGGTATAGAGCCCAAGGTAGGAGATCATCAGATGATGATTACATGAGTCCAGGCCATGTGCAGCCCAAAAGTGAGATGGTACTGGGTAGAGGGAGTGGGTATAAGAACGGGGTAGACCAGATAGCATTGGTCATCCACTAGGTTTGGGTAGTGAGAGGCTGATGGCTTTAGGAGGACGCCACCTAATTGGGTTTCCCCAAGGTAGGGAACTTAAGGTGGGCAAAGTGGGCTGTTGCCCATTGTTGGTATACTTGGTGAGATGAGGTGGGGGTCTCCGGAGCCTATATACATAGTGTTTGGAAGTATAGAATCGGATCTCATCCTGCTATCTCAATCCTCCCTCCCCTCACAGGGCTCACCCCTCCTGCTACCCCTCCCCACCAGTTATGGAAGCCCTTGGCTGCTGTCTCACTGCTGGCCAAAGCCAAATCTCCTAAGTCCACCGCCCAGGAGGGAACCCTGAAGCCTGAAGGAGTTACAGAGGCCAAACATCCAGCTGCAACCCGCCTCCAAGAAGGGGTCCATGGCCCCAGTCCAATCCATGTGGGCTCTGGGGACCATGACTATTGTGTCCGGAGCAGGACACCCCCCAAAAAGATGCCTGCCTTAGTCATTCCAGAGGTGGGCTCCCGATGGAACGTCAAACGCCATCAGGACATCACTATCAAACCTGTCTTGTCCCTGGGCCCAGCTGCCCCAGTGCTTTCACGCACAGCTGTCTCCCAGGAACCACTTGATTACAGGACTAGCAATGAACAGGCAGATCCCTCAACCCCTTGCCTTGCCCCATCTGCCTTGATGTCCCCTGAGGCCTCGCCCTGCCGGAATGACACTAGGACTCTCTCTGAGCCCTCAGCCAAGCAGCGGTCAGTGCGCTGTTACCGAAAAGCCTGCAGGTCAGCCAGCCCCTCAGGTGGGGCCTGGCAGGGCCGCCGTGGCCGCAGCAGCCGTTCTGTCAACTCTGGGTCCAACAGGACCAGCGAAGCATCTTCTTCCTCATCCTCATCGTCGTCTTCCTCATCCCGATCTCGGTCCAGGTCCCTCTCCCCCCCACACAAGAGGTGGCGAAGGTGAGCTCTGAGGGTTTGTTAGGTCCTCTCCGCTTCGGAAGTTCATGTACTCTTCTCTGGTTACTTTTGAGAACTTTTGCAATTTGAGTTTGGTATTTTCAGGCACCGAGACTTCCATTTCTGTCTGGCTTTTATCTTCTTTCCCTTTCCTAGATCCTTAAGACAACAGGCTTGAGAAGATAGTTTCTATTTCCTGTTGGAACTTGGGGTACCCCTGAGGTCTCAGGTTCCTTGAGACCTGTGTTGGGGAAACTACTAGGGTTTGATCTTGACCGTGTTGATTGCTTTGCATAGTGTGCCAGTCCTCATTTTTGTTAATTGTGCTGGGAAGATGGGACAGTGGGCTGTTAATGATGAACAGTCTTTTCATCTTGTTGAGGTAAGAATCTGGAGCGTTTGCTTAGGAGCTCACTGTGGCCGCTCCTGTTTTTTGGCAGTACCTTTTCTTAATAATAGACCCAAATTTTCCCACTTAGTAAAGAATTCTTGTTTTTTGTTTGCTTAAAGATTTATTTATTTGTGCATACAGTACTGGGGTACAGGCCAGAGGTGCAGGGGCAGTGAGAGGATTCACCAGAGACAGAGTGGGGAGCAGAACAGGCAGACCGATAAAGTACACTGCTGAGGGGAGCTGTGGGCACATCAGGAAAGGTCTGCTGCACCATGTGGGTCATGTCCGGGACTGGGAATCAAATTCACATAGAAGAAGCTGTGGCTCGTTTGCAGTGCTGCACTTTAACCCGTTGTACCACCAGGGAGAGCTGAAGAATTCTTGTTTTTTTGACAGTGAAGCGTATCTTCATTAATCACCCCTATTGTTTGTTTAGCACAGTCATGTCCACTTTATGCCATGGTCATAAGTATCCTTTGAGACATGTTAAGGGAGCCAGGAACCTGGAGACCCAGGCCTGGCCCCCCACTAGTTGTAAGATGCAGGGCCCAGCTCTTTCTCTTTCTGAGTCTCCATTTACTTTCCTTCCTTCTGATGTGGAAGATACTTTTTTCAGTTTTTTGATTGCATAATTGAAAATAATTATGATCTGTGCTCAAACATTCTTTAAGACATTCTAGATACATCTAAAGTTTGTGAGGACTTCAATTTGATTGTCTGTGAAGAGTTCTTCTAGACTTCCTCAGCTTTGTTTTTGGTCTTGAGCTTCCTGATGAGGGTGGGGGTGGTGGAGACCAAGGTGAGGTAAGTGGAAAACAGCTTCTTCACTCCTAGCATGATTGAATGTCCCTTCATTCTTCAGGTCTAGTTGCAGTTCCTCTGGGCGATCCCGAAGATGTTCTTCCTCTTCCTCCTCCTCCTCCACCTCTTCAGCTTCCTCCTCTTCATCATCCAGCTCCCGAAGTCGGTCTCGGTCTCCGTCCCCCTGTCGGAGAAGTGATAGGAGACGGCGGTAAGTATTGTGTTCAGGTAGTCAGTGCATCTGGGATGCAAGTGTCTGAGAGTCTGAGTCTTGAGTTGTCTAATGTCTTAGTGACTGATGACACCCTTTCTTGTCAGGTACAGCTCTTATCGTTCACATGATCATTACCAAAGGCAGAGAGTGCTGCAGAAGGAGCGTGCAATAGTGAGTAAAGGAATAGGATCCTGGGAAGAGAGGGGACTTGCCTCTGAGCAATAAACTCAGAGCTGTCTAAGGCTGATGCCTAGGCTTATGGTATGTTGATTTTTTCTTGACTTAAAATAGGAAGAGAGAAGAGTGGTCTTCATTGGAAAGATACCTGGACGCATGACTCGGTCAGAGCTGAAACAGAGGTTCTCTGTTTTTGGCGAGATTGAAGAGTGCACTATTCACTTCCGTGTCCAAGGGTAAGATTGAATCCTCAATTTAGAAGGGCCTTTTTGCTCAGGTGTGCTGGGCATTGTGGCACACCTTCACTGTTGCAAAGGGCTGGCCATTTGGGGAATGAACTACCTCAGTTTCTCTTTATACCCTGGCATGTGCCCAGATAGCCATGCTAGCTCCTGCCTCACCCTCCCCACCAGTGACAACTATGGCTTCGTTACTTACCGCTATGCTGAGGAAGCATTTGCAGCCATCGAGAGTGGTCACAAGCTGAGGCAAGCAGATGAACAGCCCTTTGATCTCTGCTTTGGGGGCCGCAGGCAGTTCTGCAAGAGAAGTTACTCTGATCTTGGTGAGTGGAGGTTATACCACTTCTCCCCAGAAGGGTTCCCAAACTGATGAGAGTGGGATGAAACTTGTCTTCATCTGACATAAGAACCTAGGGGGAGGGCTGAAAGAACTGGGCTCTCCTATCTGACTTAAAATCAGGACTGTTTTAGCTGCACCCATTATTGGGATGGGAGATGGCTGGGCATTGTGGTTGTGAGGAGATGTGAGGACCTTGTGGTTGGGAAGTGTGGTCAGAGACTTTGATTGTTTGTCTCTTTCTACCTTTATAGACTCCAACCGGGAAGACTTTGACCCTGCTCCTGTAAAGAGCAAATTTGATTCCCTTGACTTTGACACATTATTGAAACAGGCCCAGAAGAACCTCAGGAGGTAACCCTGGGCCCTTCTCCCCCTCTCCCTTTTCTTCGGAGGTGTGCAACCTCCTCCACCCCTCTCCCCCACTTGGGGAGAGAGCTGCTAGTGAGGAGATGACTGTTTTATAAAGAAATGGAAAAAAGTGAAATAAAAAAATGTGTTAAATCAGATTTTTTTAAAGGGGTATCTCTTTTTTTTATAACAGGCATTGAAATATTAATCTGTATTCCTATGTAACATGGATGGGGCTGCGGTGTTCGCCCAGTGTTTGGAATATCTAAGTCACTATGCAGACTAATAAAGATGAACTAGAAAGAATTCCAAAGTGCTGCTGTGCTTCTTTCTATGGTGCTAGGTGCCATGCACACTCACTTTTTCCTCTCGACACAGTCAACACAGTCAAGAACATGCATATTCATTGAGTCCCTAGGACCTCTCCTGTCACGGTGCAAAATCCTTCTGGATTTGAAACTTGATTCCTTAATTGTGTGTTATCAGTGAAGTCAGTAATCTTGGGCAGTGCTTCTCAAACTCTAAAAGGGCATTGAATCATCTAGAGCTCTTTAGAATGCAGAGGCTGACTTGTAGACCCGGGCCAGAGATTCTGAATTTCAAACAAGGAAAGGCTGGGATCCCAGGAAGAAATTCTATTATCAAGAACCTAGAGGAAGCTCACATCTGTTCTAAATAAAGATTTTCTAAACTGAGACTTGTGTGTGCATGTATTGTTTTAGTGTGAACTTAGCACATCGGTGCTTCAGTGTTTAAAGAATAAATGCATGTCGCTAGACCTCTTTGGGTAAGAAGGAGACAAAGGAGTTTATAGAGGGGAGTGCCTGTGTTGAGAAAGGCAAAGGATATTTATGTCCCCTATGAGGATGCTCTTTCTTCCTGAGGGACCAAGTAGTCAGGAAGTGGATAGTATTAAAGGGGTCACTGCCTGCTAATGTGAGCTGAACTATGACAGAATTTGGGATTGGCAGGTCTGGGCCTTGATACAAAGGGAGAGGCAACAGTTGAGTTTTCTAGTTCTCCATAGGCAAAGTTAACAGTGTGGTTGGATTCTACCCAGGAAATAGAAGGGTTATTTTAAGAATGTGGGTTGAAGATATGCTCCTGTGTCATTCAGGTTTCTCTTCATGGAACTTACCCAAAGCTGAAGTGAGGGAATGGGTTGTTTCACTGGGAAGAAGCACTGCACATGGAGAGACAGTTAGGGGGATCAAAACCCCACTGCCCACGGATGATAATCTGAGGGCCCTCTGTAGTGGATCCTGGAAGGTGTATGTTAAGATAGGGCCTCTCCGTGCAGAAGGTAGGGAAGATGAGTTCTGGGAAATCCACTGGCTACGCCAATGGGGGCGGACGGGAGAGATGGCCCTAGTCTGGAGAGGCCAAAGACAGTTTGCATCTGGCGGTTCACTCATCACCAAATTTCAGCCCGGACGCGGAAAGGCCTGAGTTTTCCCGCCACGACTGGGGGCGTGACCCCTAACGTCAGGGCTCCGCCTTCACAAAGTGGCGGACGGCGGGCTCCGCCCTCACCAACATGGCGACACTCCTGGGACCGGAAAGAGCTTATAGAAGAATTCGCTTTGACCCTCCCTGTTGGCGCGGTGGAGGCGGGGCTGCCCTATAGCGTGTGCCCGCCCCTTCCGCCGTGCGCGGTGGCGTCATGGGCGCGCCCCACCTCTCCGGGTTCCTGGGTTTCCTGAGTCGAGCGCGTCTGCGACGGTAGTGACGTGTGTTGCCCGAAGGATGGCGGACGCCGGCTTGCGCCGCGTGGTTCCCAGCGATCTGTACCCCCTCGTGCTCGGCTTTCTACGGGATAACCAGCTGTCGGAGGTGGCCAATAAGTTCGCCAAGGCAACGGGCGCTGTGAGTCCTGGGCTTGGGTTCACGGACTGGGCTGGAATGACTAAAGGGCTCGGGCCCTGGTATGCCCAGGTTTCTTGGTGGGTAGGTCTGTGGGGTCCGCCAGCCCAGTGTCTGCGGCGGCTTTGTGCGAGCTGTTGACTGTGACCTGAGAAAACTTGGAGTCGGCACTCCCTCTTAGCAGAGGTGGGTCGGGTCCCCTTGCTGATTTTGTTGAGTGGCACCGCAGCGGCGGTCGCGTGGGACCCTCGTGGCCACGGTCACGTGGCAGGCTGAGTGCTGCGCGGAGGGAGCGCCGAGTCCCACGCGAGGCTTGGGAGGCTCCTGGTTCCTTCCTTGGGCTTTACATTTGACCTTAACTCCCAAGTGTATTTATCGGGCACTTGAACATAAATAGCATTGCTTTAGAAATGAGGGCTGGAATTTTCATTCGTAAAGAAGGGTTAGGGACAGGTTTCCGCTTCCAGTTAATACCGAAGCGGGACTGAGCATTGTAGCCTACTAAGCCAGCATGATAGTGAGCTTGGATTTTTGACGAATCAAACAAGTTTCCTTTTGGGATGGGACAACTTGCTTGACCTAAGTCTTTTTCTGTTTATGCGGGGGTGCCACACACTTCATAGGATTTTGAGAGTTTCAGTAACATATCCATAGCCATAATCCGAGTCACTTGCCCAGGAAGCTGCAGTAAGTGAAAGCTGTTATAGTTATGATAGCATAGGGTGTTTCAAACACAGTGAAAGGAAGATAAGCAGGCATGTGAAAGGTTTGGAATCTACATCTCAAGAAGAGTAGACATGACTGTATGGGAAAACTACTTGAGAGAAGGTAGGACAGAATGGCGGTCTTTGGCAGTATTATATTACTCTTTGACTAAGAAGATAGGCTTGTCGCTTGTGACTGAATCGGGCTGCAAAAAGAGAGAATCAGATCAATCTCAGAAAGCTTGAGAATAGTTTGCCATGTGATCTGGTAGTTACTTTTCATAAAGTAACTGTTTTTGAATTAATTTGTAAGTATCTCCACAACGAACTGGGTGGAATGAAGCCTTTCAAAAAAAATTAAGATTTATTTCTTTATGCATACAAGAACTGGGGGTATAAGCAGGGGTGGGGGTGGTGAGAGGATTCACCAGACAGAGTGGAAAGAACAGGCAGATCTACTGAAATCCACTGTTGAGGGGAGCAGCCAGCGGCTGGTCAGGAGTGGATCAGGAAAGGTCTGCCATGCCATGGCCGGGTCAGCTCCCTGGCTCATAGTGCTGCACTTTAATCTGTTGCACCACCAGGGAGGGCCCTCAATTCTTTTTGTTACAAAAGCTAATCTTTGTGTGTGCCTTCACGGGCATCATCACTTATCTTCTCAACAACTTTATAAGATGTAGAATTAGAATTTCAGAGAGGAAAAAAGTTTTAGATTAATTTGCTCAGGATTACATAGTAATAACTGGCAGAGGTGAGTATTACAGCCACACTGAGTACACTATAATTAATGTCTGGCCATTTTGGGGCATCAGTCTCTAAGTGTGACTAATAGTTGAATGTGATTTTTAATTGAATATATGACCTAAGCTTTTTACCAGTCTTTGCTGGGAGCTGATTTCCAATGATTTAGTACCATAAATCACGTTGTATCAAACACTCTTGCATAAATGTCTAATGGAGGAGGATAACTAGTATATGATACTTTGCTAAAGCAAAAAAAAAACAAAAAACAAAAAAAACTTTTTTTTTTTAAGCATTAAAGTTTTTGGTAATAAGATTGATGGGGGAGGGGAAAGAGATAGAAAGTGCCCAGAAGTATAGGAATTATCCAAGTTTTTTTATAATTATCCAAGTTTTTTTTTTATAAAATTGGGAAATAATATTAAACAGTGTTTATCTCCTAATTTATGCAAAAAGGTTTTTTGAAAATGTAACAGTTATACCAAAGATGGCACAAATAAAGTGTATCATTTTTACTGACTGAGAATAGCAAAATCTGATATAACTTAGAACAGCCAGGATGAAGTTTTCTCACTCAGTTCCTTCTCTTTTCTTTTATAGACCCAGCAGGATGCCAATGCCTCTTCCCTCTTGGACATCTATAGCTTCTGGCTCAAGTAAGCCTACCCTGTACCACTATGGCTGTATTTTCCTCTCAGATGGATTGGGTTATATTTAGTTTGGGAACTTCTCATCTCATCTACCTCAGCAGGTCCACCAAGGCCCCAAAGCGGAAGTTACAAGCAAATGGACCTGTAGCTAAGAAGGCTAAGAAGACCTCATCCAGTGACAGCAGTGAGGACAGCAGCGAGGAAGATAACACTCAAGGACCTCCAGCTAAGAAAGTTGGTAAGGCCAGGCCGGGAATTGGGATTAGTGGCCCCAGGAAAAGGAGTTATAGCCTGTCTGTACCACGTGGGTGATTCTTACTCTGGGCCTGTGCTTTTGTTCAGCTGTACCTGCCAAGCGGGCCGGTGTGCCTCAGCATCCTGGAAAGGGTGCAGCCAAAGCATCTGAAAGCAGCAGTGAAGAATCCAGTGATGATGAGGAGGAGGACAAAAAGAAAAAGCCTGTTCAGGTTTGCAGCTTTGGGGAGGAAAGGGGGTTGCTTAAGGAACTGGAAAGAGGAAACCTAAAGTCTAATCTCATAGTGTATGACCAAGAGATGTGTTCGAAAGGTGATTGTAAGGAAGAAAGTCTGAACTTTTAGAGAGGCGATGGAAATGTGAAGTCTGGAAAGGATATGTGCAGTTGGAGTTGAGCTCTCAGTCTAGAGGAAATTCATCCCAATCTGCTTCCACAGAGGTGGTGAGTTTCTCTGGGAAAATGTCTAAGACTCCAAGAGAAGACTGATTTGTAGGTGTTAGGGACTTTCGCATGGAATGACAGAGACAGGATCAGTATCTTAAAAGGGTGAGCTTTTTTGTTTTAGGAGCTTATTGCTTTTTTCTATATTGGCTTTTCCTAGCTGTTGGGTCTCTGGATGCAATTAATTCTACTCTTTGTATGCTTTCTTACAGAAAGTAGCTAAGCCCCAAGCCAAGGTGGTCAAAGTTCCTCCGAAGAATAAGGCGGCTGAGAGTTCTGATTCTGACTCTGACTCAAGTTCAGAGGATGAGGCACCAAAGAACCAGAAGCCAAAGACGACACCTGTAACAGTTAAAGCTCAGGCAAAAGCCTCAGTCAAACCAGGTACTGTATCTGGTGCTGAGACGCCAGCGTGGGGTCCAGTGTGTCCACGCTGTCTAGGGAGGTGACCCACATGGCGCGGCAGACCTCTCCTGACTTACCCACTGCTCCCCTCAGCAGTGTATTTCAGTCAGCCTGCCCATTCTGCTCCCTACTCTGTCTGGTAAGTTCTCTCACCCCCCACATCTCTGGCCTGTACCCCAGTTCTTGTGTTCATAAGTCGATAAATAATTTAAAAAATCATAATTAAGGGCTACTAACTAGAGAAATAGTTTGCAGCAAGGGAAAGTCCTATAAATTTGGCATTTTTAGTTGCATTTCACAGAATTGTATGTCCCTACAATTCTGTGACCATTTACATATGTATTCTTTGTGCCTTTCACTACCACTTTTTCTTTTCTACTCCCTACACTTTCATCCCATTGAACAAATGAAGATTTTTTTCTGTAATTGTCTAGTCACGAAGGTTATATTATGATTTATAGGAGCTTCTCATAATGGAAGTTGGAATGAAAGACTTAAGAGAACATACTTAACATGATTGCAGTGTGTTGTTTCTTAAAAGATAGTTTTTGTATATTCTTAGAATTAGGAAGGAAAATTCTCATTTGCCATAGTAAACTAGTTCCCTTCATGCAGGTTCTAAAGGCAAGATAATTGATAGACCCCTATATTCTGCACTAGACAGAAGTATATAGGTAGAATCCTGTATTCTGGGAAGGCAGTTTTTATGGTCCTTTTTTTTTTATTATTGAAGGTTTATTTTATTTATGCATATAAGAGCTGGGGTGCTGGCATTTATGCATATAAGTGCGGGTTGCTGGGTGGGGAGGGTTGTGAGAGGGTTTAACCAGAGACAGAGTAGGCAGATAAACTGAAACACACTTCTTAGGGGATCAGTGTGTAAGACAGGAAAGGTCTGCTGTGCCACAATTGTCAGCTCCCTGGCCAGGGATCAAACTTGGTAATAGCAGCTGATAGTATCATAGTCCTGTGGTACAGCCCCTTTTGCTACCAGAGAGGCCCTCTTTAAAGTCCTTTAGTTCTTTGGTACGCTATACAGGAATTCTTTTTTCTTAGGTATTCCAGCTCGGACAGCACCCAAAGTAGCCAATGGCAAAGCAGCTAGCAGCAGCAGCAGCAGCAGCAGCAGCAGCAGCAGCAGTGATGACTCAGAGGAAGAGAAGGCAGCAGCCACTGCTAAGAAGGTTTGGGCCATAACTTCTACCAGGGAAAAAGTGATGGGGGTGGGAGGATGTCTCCTTTCCCCTGGCATGATTGGCTGGGTCAGCAGTTTCTTGTAGTTAGCTGATTTTCTTGGTGTGATGCAGGCTATGCCTAAAAAGCAGGCTGTCGTGAAGGCCCCAGTGAAAGCAGCTGCTGCCCCTACGCAAAAGAGTTCCAGCAGTGAGGACTCCTCCAGTGAAGAAGAGGAAGAAGAGCAGAAAAAACCTGTGAAGAAAAAGCCAGGTGACCACATGGGGAGTCAGCCTGCCTGCCTGTGTGACCAGCGCCTGGTTATAAGAGAAGCTCTGCACTTACCACGTGGACCGCTCAGTGGTCCACTATGACAGCAAATGTCTCCAGGGAAAAAAGCAAACTGCATTACCTTTTATAACTTAGATTGGGAAACAAGTCCACATTCTACTATATTGTTTTTTAGAAATGTGGAAGGGGAATTAAGCCCCATTTCTCAAAGGTGGGTGGTATCAAAAAAATTTGTTCATATTTTAAGAACATCATATTGTCCGTTGTCTCTTTTAAACAGGACCCTATAGTTCAGTCCCCCCGCCTTCTGGTCCCCCACCCAAGAAGTCCCTAGGAACCCAGGCTCCCAAGAAAGCTGCAGAGAAGAACCAGCCGGTGGAGAGTAGTGAGGACAGCAGTGATGAGTCTGGTGAGTTATCACCATTGGTAAGGGGGCCTGGGAGTGTGTGTGGAACAAGGAAGACAAATCCTGTTGCTGTTTTTTATCGAAACAAGACAGGGCTTCATATCTTCTTTTGAATTGCTCTTGGTTGGGTTGGGACTCTTTACCCAACCTAATGCCATAGGTTCTCTCCAGATTCAAGTTCTGAAGAAGAAAAGAAACCCCCAGCTAAGGCAGGCATGACAAAAGCAGCTGCTAAACCAGTTCCAGCAAAGAAGGCAACAGAGAGCTCTTCAGACAGCTCAGGCAAGGCATTCCGCGACCCTCCGGGCAATGGGATACTCGCTCCCTTGGGTAGGCTAATCCAGGGGATCCTCTCAGTCTGATTGGGTAGGTGTTCATTCTGTCCTTTCTGTCTAGATTCGGACAGTTCTGAGGATGAAGCTCCTGCCAAGCCAGTCAGTACCTCTAAGAGTCCTTCAAGTAAACCAGCTGCTACTCCCAAGCAGCTTGCAGCTAAACCAGCCATAACTCCCAAGCAGCCTGCGGCCAGTGGCCAGAAGCCTCTGACTAGAAAGGCCGATAGCAGCTCCAGTGAGGAGGAGAGCAGTTCTAGTGAGGAGGAAGTAGAGACAAAGAAGACTGTGGCCACCCCTAAGGCTACCCCTAAGGTGGCAGCCAAAGCAACGCCATCTCTGCCCACCAAACAGGCCTCTCAGGGTGGTGAGGATAGCAGCTCTGACTCGGATAGCTCCAGCAGCGAGGAAGAGGAAGAAGAGAAGACATCTAAAACCCCAGCTAAAAAGAAGCCACAGAAGGCAGCAGGAACTATAACTCCATCCAAGCCAGCCTCCAAAAAGAAAGTAAAGGCTGGGAGCGACAGCAGTTCTTCCTCTGATGACTCCAGTGAAGAGGAGGAAGAGGAGAAGCCCAAAGGCAAGAGCACTCCACGACTACAAACCCCCAAAACCAATGGTACCTCTGTGCTGACTGCCCAGAATGGTAAAGCAGATAGGAACAGTGAGGAAGAGGAGGAAGAAAAGAAAAAGGCAACAGTGGCAGTCTCCAAGCCAGGTCTGTATCTGAAGAACCTACTTCTAGGGTTCCCCCTACATAATGATGGGCTGAGGGAGGCGACCCATGACTAGACTTCTAGTTGTAGACTTTGAATATGGAAGCTTGGGAGAAACAAACGGAACCTGAACTCTGAGTCTGCTTTTTTGTAGGTTCAGGAAAGAAGCGGAAGCAGAATGAGGCTGCCAAGGAAGCCAAGGAGGCGGATACTCCTCAAGCCAAGAAGATAAAGCTTCAGACCCCCAACACATTTCCCAAAAGGAAGAAAGTAAGTTGTCTAAATTTTCTCTCAGCTAACCTTTGAAAAGTGGAAAGGAAAATCTGGATCATCTTGACTGTTTGCGGCCTGGCTTGGCACATGTACACATATTTATAGTCATGGGGCTTTTCTGTTAAGTGGCCAAGCCTCCATCCTTAATTTCCTACTTCATTCTCTAGGGAGAAAAAAGGGCATCGTCCCCATTCCGGAGAATCAGGGAGGAGGAAATTGAGGTGGATGCCCGAGTAGCAGATAACTCCTTTGATGCCAAGGTAAAGAGAGTAAAGAAGGGGTGTTCATTCTGGAGGGGGTGCGGGTGGTAGAAGAAAAAGCAGCTTTTGGCTCAGGTTGGTGAAAAGTTCTCTGGGTTCAGGTTGCCTTGAGCAGGACGAAGAAAGATATAGGACCCTGGTGATATCTGTTAACAACCACTTCTCTCTACTTACCAGCGAGGTGCAGCCGGGGACTGGGGAGAGCGAGCCAATCAGGTTCTGAAGTTCACGAAAGGCAAATCCTTCCGTCATGAGAAAACCAAGAAGAAGCGGGGTAGCTACCGGGGAGGCTCCATCTCTGTCCAGGTCAATTCCATTAAGTTCGACAGCGAGTGACCTCTGAAATGGCCGACAAAGCAGGGATGAATATCAGAGACCACTTACTTTTCCCAGCTGACCTGGGAGCCCTTGGCTGTTAGAGCGGAGTGTTGAGGACAGCAATTTAGAATAGGTCCGAAGACATTGCATCATAACATCTCTGGTCTTTTTCTGTGTTCTGTAGTTTTGTACAGATTTGTTTTTGAGTGTTGAGTAACAAGGACAAGGCAAGGGGAATGGGAGTGTTATTTTTTTTTTAAGGAAATTCATTTTAGTTGTCACTCTCTCCCTGTTCACTGAGATATTTGTATATTTTATATTAAATCATTTCCTATTGATTTTTGTTGTGATTTTTAGAAGTGGGTTCCCACAGATAAAATCCTAGCTGTTGCTCAAGACATACTAAAGGTCATCTGTGAATTTGTCCAACTGGTGAATTATGCCTGTGTGAGTACACAGGTCCACACCTCATCCCTCCTACCTCCTGTTTAGGGGTGAAGAGTGGTTAATCCATGTGTCCATGAAGCATGCACTCTGTTGTTCATCCTTATTCATTGGTTCTAAGTCTGAGGTTTTCAGCCAGTATGGGTTTACCTACTTTTTTGGGTCACTGTTTTATTGTAGGCAAAATTCTGGTATGGTGTGAATGTCATGGGTCTGTTAGAATAGCTTATTTTTTGCAATTTTACCATGTGTATCTGCGACACATTTGGTTTTTTGTAATTTGAAAGCAAATTTTTCTATCGTTCAAAGATTTTGTAATGACTTAACACTTAACTAGTGTTGAGTACTAAATTGAGTATGGCTCCTTTTTTTTTTTTTTGGTACATTTTAGAGTACAAAATTGTGTTAATTTAATCTGAAAAGCACATATCACTTGATATTTCTGTGTCGATAGGAGCGATGACACAAAATTGGTCTCATTAATTCCTAAATGGCTGGGATTCAATGCTTAAAGAAGTTAAAGAAGAAAAACTTAATTAAAACCTCAATTTTCCATAGTTAGATTACAATAGTCTGGTGAATTTAGACGTAACCTGTGTCTGTACTAGTAGAGGTGGGAAGAACCTTTATGAAGTATATTATCAATAAAACTGGAGAGGGTCTGAGAGAGCATCCTAACAGGAAAATTGTGTTTTGTAATTGGTGTGTGGGAGCAATTGATGTGCCCTCTTTAGAGCCTTGACTGTCAGCCATAGTGGAGGTAACAAATGAGCAGAGACGGGACTCCTAGGCCAAGCAGATTGATGTAAAGCTGTAGAAGAGTTGGCAGTGCTCAGCCAGAGCAAAATGTGGAGGAAACAGTCAAGTGTGGAAGCAAGGCTATCCCTGTGGTGGGAGGATGTGCTCTGGCTTCATGGCTGAGGTATGTGGTCTTAAGATGAGTTTCCTTGATTTGAGTTCCATACTCTGAGTAACCTGATAATACCCGAGTTTTCCTTGTAACTGCCTCTGGGAAGAAAATGCGCTGTTCATGCTGACATAAATATTTAAGTCTGCATGGTAAAACTTAAACCTCTTACTACAAAATAATAAATTGCTGGTTTATAATGTGTCTTGGGATTTTTATTGTGAGCCTGAGCCCCTCCTACTTTGAAGGGGGTGGGGGCTAGTAGACAGTCTGACAGCCACAGGAGCTGGCAGCTACAGGAGAGGTGGGAAGGAATGTGCATGTGGTCGTTTAACACCTCTGGGTGACAAAAGGGGTAATGAGGCAAAGTAGGGCAGTGGAAAAGTAGTGATAGTAGCTTTTCCCCCAGAGTAGGGGGGGAAATGCCCCCGAGAGCTTTTGAGAGCAGTGGAGAGTCCCCAGAATCTCTATAAAAAAGAAACTAGCACCCTAGCAACCGTCTCCTCCCTATAACTCCCCTGCTGTCAGGAGTCGCTTGCAGTAAACTGAGGCTTGCTAATCTTCAGTCTGGTATGTCAGTTGTTTGAATGCAGGAGCCCATTTGATTACAATAGGACCATCTTGGGTGTCGGATAAAGGACTGGGGACGAGATCTGAACTCTTTATAGCCTTCTTGGAAGCAGCTTGCTGGCCTTTCTTGGCCTTAAATTTGCCAGGCAATAACCTAGCCTCTGTTTATTTTTTGTTGTAAAGATTTATTTATGCATACAAGAACTGGGGTACAACCAGAGGTGTGGGGTGTGAGAGGATTCACCAGAGACAGTGGGGAACAGAACAGACAGATCTACTGGAATAACACTAGTGAGGGCAGCAGCAGGCGAGACAAGAGGGGTCTGTCACGCCTTGTGGGTCACCTCCCTGGCCAGGGATTGAACTCATGCTGCAGTGGCTGTGGCTAGCTTTGTAGTTCGTGCTTTTACTTGTTGCGCCTTCAGGGAGGGCCTTCATGCTTTCATTTTAAATCATGCTTTTGAAATCCAGTAATGTGGGACATTACTGGTGGTACAAGGGGTTAAGTCTTAGCACTATGAAGTGCAGTTTGAATTTGATCTGGATTCCTCTACAAGCCATATTGTCTGCTACTGGGTTTCAAGTAACAGGTCACCTTTCACAGGTAACAAGGACAGGCTATAGGTCAGAAGAGCCTCCCCTAACCACTCTCCAGAATTAAGTGGTCTCAAATGAGGGCCTAGGGCCTATGTTTTAATCATCTCTGCGTCCTAAGTGTCTCACCGAAGGTCTTGTCTAGTCATGTGGGAGCACATGGCACAGCAGACCTCTCCTGTCTCACCCACTTCTCCCCACAGCAGTGTTCCACTCCCCAGACTGGTGAGTCCTCTCACCCCTATTCCCTGCACCTCTGATCTACATCCCAGCTCTTGTATGCATAAATAAATTTTAAAAGATAAAGTCCAGTAATGTACAGTGTAAATTAAATTTTTATCTCAGCCCTGTTTCCTAAGACTTTAATTCTTGTGCCTACTGACAGATAAATATGCCATCTTAGCCATTTTACTGTCCAATAATGTTATTGAAGTTGTATAACAAGTCTATAAGATGTGTCTGTGTTGCACAGCTGAAATTCTGCCCATCAAGCACTAATTTCCCATCACCCCAGCCATCTCTGTTTTCTGTGATACTTGGTAAATGGAGCAGTAGAGTATTTCTTCTATAATCCCCTAAAAGTTTATCCATATTGTAGTAGCATGTGACAGGGTTTCCTTTTTCAAAGCTGTGTAATAATCCTTAATTTATAACCCACATACACATTTAGTTAGTGTGTTCTAAGTATGGCCAGCCTTGTACCCTATTCAATTGGATTAATATTTAATGATTTGTAAATTGTTCTTGATCTATTAAGAGATTAACTGTGAATTGCAAATATTTGTTTTTTAGGTATTTTCATCTTAAAATTAAATAAAACACTGATTTTTTTTCCTCCTTAAAATAGATAAATAATTTGTAAGCTGTTTATTGTTTGCAGCTGTGGCTTTTTATTTTGCATTATATAACACTTCACAATTTTGTTGGCTTGCTTAATTTAATACGCATTTCTCCTTTGGCCTTGCAAAGCTGAATATGATATGTACATACATACATCATATGTGTGTATGTATGTGTGTGCACCTTCATGAAAGGAGAAATTTTCCAGTGGAGAAGATGCCCTTTAGGTGAATCAAGTGGAGGATGTTTAGGAGGTAGAGACAATATAACACTGCGTGTTTAATGGTAATGACTTTTCTTTTTTATAAATATAACAGTTTATTTTTACATAATTTTGTACATTTTTTTTTTCATCTCAATTGTAATCCCCATGGGGGTTTCCCATCACCGAGTCACCCATGTGCCGTCACCACAGCCCTGTCCACTTCTTCCCCCCTACCCTTCTGGCAATGACTTTCTGTACCCTAGTCAGGAATTAGTACTTTCTTTCATCTACCTGATCATGTTTGGGGATTAACAGTCCAAAACAATGCTTCTGTCAACAATTCAGGGCCCTCCCTGGTGGCACAGCGGTTAAAGCACAGCACTAAGAAGCTACTGCAACCTCTGCAGTACAAGTTTCATCCCTGGCCCTGGAGGTGACCCACATGGTATGGCAGACCTTTCCTGACCCACTCGTTGCTCCCCTCAGCAGTGTATTTCAGTACATCTACCTGTTCTGCTTCCACTCTGTCTTCGGTGAATCCTCTCACCCCCAGCACCTTGGCCTGTACCCCAGTTCTGTATGCATAAATAGATAAATCTTAAAAAAAAAAAAAAAAAAAAAAGAGTTCAGCTGCCAGGAAAGCAAGACCATTGATCATCTCATCCCTGCTCCCTGAACAACCTGCTTAAGTGGTCTGCAGCTTAGAGACCACTAGGTGGTGCTCTTGCCTACTGTGCAGGAACTAAGTAAGACTGAAGCCAAATTCTTAATCTGGTTCAAGAAATGTGTATATGAGGCTTTAGATTCAGAGGTGAGTAAGGCATAGGTCCTCATTTGAGTTCTCTTAATTCTGGAGAGTGGTGAGGGGAGGCCCTTCTGACCTATATCCTATCCTTGTTACCTATGAGAGGCAACCTTTTACTTGAACCCCAGTAGCAGATAATATGTCTTGTAGAGGAATTTGGATATTTGCCGTGGCACCCAACCTCTCAGCCTCATCCCTCTGGTCCTTCAGGGCACTGGTTTCCTGCAAGGGCAGCTAGCCACATGTCCCCATTAATGGAAATTTTAGATCTTTGTGCTGCAAAGCCCTGGGATGCTCCACTGTCTCCCCCACTCTTCCTGCATACTCCCCTCATAACTCAGGATTGAGAACAAATGCCAGGCTTATTCCTTGGAAGTGGGCTGGGGAATGGAAGGAGCAGGGAGTATTTCAGTAAATTAGTTTGCCATAATAGGAATTCATCCATTCATAAATCAGTACCACATGTGTGATTTCGTGCCATAATATATTATTCTGTGTGGGCGATGTTGAGGAACAGAAAATAGTTCTATACCTAATTCTAGTGTTCATTTTGCCCAGGCAGATGAGATTAATCTCAAAATAAATGATTAATCTCAAATAAATGATAAGTACATTGAAGGCAAGGTACAAAGAAGTAGGAGATCATTTAATGGCAGGTGCTTGTGACTCATGTGGTGTTGGGGCTTCCTCAAAGAATGACCATGTATTAATTTATCATCTAAATTGGGATGCTTTTGGTAGCAATTCAGCTTTTGACAAAGTGACAAACATACTGTATTAGGCAAACCAGGATATATTATCACTATAGTAATAGAAATCTTCACCAAGAAAGTAATATTTTAATTGAGGAAATGAAAGTGGGAGGTGAATATGGGAGTGCAGGATGAGCATGACTGATTTTTCCAGATGAAATAGACTATGTCTTTGGTGGGAGGGCATATAAAGGAGATCCCAAATCTGAAAAGAGACTTGTGTACCTCAAAGAGGAAGGAGTGCTATGTGAGGACGCTAGAGAAGCCAGCAGGGACCAGAGCATGGAAACCTTTAGAAAGTGTGTTTAAGATTTTAATCTTTCTTGTAAAAAAGATTTTATTTTTTATTTTATGCATATAAAAGCCTGCGTGTAGGGTAGAGGCACAGAGGAGGGGGTAAGAGGACTCACCAGAGACAGTGGGGAGCAGGACAGGCAGACTGATTGAAATACACTGCTGAGCGGAGCAGCAGGCGAGACAGAAGAGGTTTCCTTTGCCTTGTGGGTCACCTTCATGCTGTAGTGGCTGCAGATAGCTTGATATAGCTGAGATTTAACCCTTAGTGCCACCAGGGAGGCCCTGATAATAATCTTCAATCTGAAGTCAATGGTAAGCATTTAAAGAATATGTCAGTTTCCTCATTTTTTCAAACTACTATAACAAAATACTGTAAGTTGCTTAGACAACAAAGTTATTTCTCACAACTCTGGAGTTTGCTAAATCCAGGATCTAGAGGCTTATTTGGCTCCTATTGACCAATCTCTCCCTGACTTGCCGACAACTTCCTGCTGTGTCCTCAGCTGTTAATAGAGGCACTTATCCCATCATAGGGGCTCCATCCTCATGACTTAGTCCTAAATACGGATTCAAGGCCCCACCGCATACCATCACATTGGGAGTTAAGACTAAGCACAGCACTATGAAGCTATCCACAGCCACTGCAGCAGTTTGATCCCTGGCCAGGGAGGTGATCCACGTGGCAAAGCAGACCTCAGCCCCTATTCTCCTCAGCAGTGTTTTTCAGTGTATCTTTCCTGTTTCTCACTCTTTCTCTGGTGAATGTTCACACACACTCCCACCCCC